AAACCCCCCAACCCTAAGCCCCTAAACCCTAAACCCTCCAAGCCTGAAGCCCTAAACCCTAAACCCCCCAAGCCTAAAAACCTAAACCCTAAACCCCCCAAGCCTAAAACCCTAAACCCTAAACCCCCCAACCCTAAACCCCTAAATCCTAAATAGTTCCACACAGTCTCTGCTGCTCATGCAGGCCCTTGAGTCCCAGCACAGGGCTCCGGGTTTCATGTCTAGGGTTTGGGGTTTGGAGGGTTTGGGGGTTGAGGGTTTAGGGTTTAGGGCTTGCAACTGCCATGACATCACGCGAATTCTGACCACACACCCCCCAGAACAATGCTCAACATGATAACAGCGACGTAGTACCAGTGGTAATCGTAGTAATAGCAATAGTACTGCTACTACTACTACTACTACTACTACTACTACTACTACTGCTACTACTACTGCCGCTCCTACTACTACTACTACTACGACGACGACTACTACTACCAATACTGCCACTACTGCCACTACTACTACTACTACTACTACTACCACTACTACTACTACTACTACTGCCGCTCCTACTACTACTACTACGACGACGACGACGACGACGACTACTACTACCAATAATGCCACTACTACTACTACTACTACTACTACTACTACTACTACCACGACGACGACGACGACGACGCCGACGTCGACGACGACAACCACAACAACAACAACAACAACAGCAGCAACAGCAGCAGCAGCAGCAGCAGCGGCAGCAGCAGCAGCAACAGCAACAGCAACTACTACTACTACTACTACTACTACTACTACTACTACTACTACCACCTCTACTACTACTACTACTTCTACTACTACTACTACTTCTTCTACTACTACTACTACGTATACGTAGTAGTAGTAGTAGTAGTAGTACTACTACTACTACTACTACTACTACTACTACTGCTGGATCTCCCTTGCCTGGCCTGAGTCTCAGCAGCCTGGATCAGGAGCCTTCCCACACCTTTGCGCTGATGGTCATTGTGCACCTCCCGTGCAGGAGGCAGTAATATAGGTGTCTTAACCTTGCTGGGGTCTGTTTGCTATACTCCTGGAGGTGCAAAAGGACATAAAACTGTGTCTGCAGGAAGAGACCGGGAAAAAAAAAAAACGTCCTCGCGAAAAAACCGTCCGCTTTGCGCCTCACAAAAGTGCCTATGTTTCCAGGGTAGTCGGAGACTTACTGAGCTTCAACAAAAGCATGTTCTTTGAACGCACGTGGCTCACATGGACGGCCGACATGAGTGATGTTGGACGCGATACCTGGCCAACAAGACTGGCAAGCCAAAGCGCCGAAGGTAAAAAACTACCGTCTATTGCAGTTTTAGTGGGATAGGCATACGGTTTTTTACTGCGTAATGTCGACAAAACGTCGATAAATTACGGGTTCCGTACGGTTTACGGCTTGTTTACGGGTTGGCCTAAACGGCCGTAATCCCGAACCGTCCCGAAAATACGGTTACGGCTTGGAAAGGTCGCAAAAAAGTTCGATTTTGTTAGCGTGTAGGATTGATGACAGATGAGCTTACGATGTGCCAGGCTCGTTGAAGCAGGGTCCCCTCGTAGCTTGAGGAACCCGCAAGACATGGTATTGCGTGTCTGGGAGCATGTTTCCAAACAGCTAAAGAACAAGAATGTGACTGCTCTGCGTACGTTATAAACGCCTGTTCAAAAACCGAAATACGGCTCAGTTACGGGAAAATCCAGATTTCTCCGAAAGGACACATACTGACATAGAAGTGTCTGGTAGCACTTCTAGGCTATACGTATATCAAGTTCCAACAAGCCGAAACCCCAAACCCCAGACCCTGACTCCCAAGGCCCACAACCTGAAACCCCATGAGCGACGTCGCCTTAAGATGGGCGATCAGCAGCTCCTTCTCAACGTTCTCCTTATGCAGAAAGCCAACGACCTCCTTGGTGTACTTCTCCCGAGCCACCTCAAGGTTCGAGCAGGCTCCAGTCGAGCGCGCTACTCCGGAAATCATCCCACCCACCTAAGAATCCCCTGACATGAAGTAGAATGTGTTAATTCCTTATCTATTGCAGTAGTACATCCAAACTAGTCGGCTCAGGTAAAAGCCTCAAAGGAACCTGAGAAGGAACCCTAGGCCCAAAACCCCAAGCCCCAAAACCCTAGGGCCGAAACCCTAAGACCAAAACATCTTAGCATGGATTGTCGCCCGGTGCGCAAGCTGACACCGCAAGCCCCCAAACCCTGAATCCTGAACCCCCAATATCCTAGGCGGATGCCCACCAAGCTCCACGACGAAATCACGGATGCACACTTCGTGGGCATTAGCGATATCACCAGCGCCCAGGGAGAGATCCCGACTTCTTCGTGGGCATTGGCGAAAACGCAAACGCCCCGACGAATACCATTAAAGGAAAGAGCTATCTGACAGAGAGGCTTCGGGTGTAGCCGAGCCACCAGCACGAGTGAGCCTACTTTCCCACGATTGGCGACAATGTCGGAGTACTCTTTGAAAAACTGGCCATCCGTCTCGAAGGTCCCCCAGGCCGCGCAGAAGTCCGCTTTTCTGCAAGACCGGGCGAAGAGCTTCGTCTCGAAGAGCACGGCCTGGTCGACCACGAGCATCTTCTCCAGGGAAACTGGCCACCGAGCTCTTCCCGGTTCGTTCCGAGTGCGATGTCCAGGCCAGTCTGCACCGGGAGCTCTTCATAGAAGAGGCGCAGCGTCTCTGGATGGTCCGGGTCTATGGTGGTGCTAAGCTCCATCCCCCACGTAGCCATCCACATGCTTGCATGCGCATACTCCAGACGAGCTGTAAGCGCCTGTCCCTCGGAAATCTGGAAAGGTCCTTCGGCAACTTCGCCGGCTTTGCTGCCCATTCCTGGAGAGCTCGCAGGCCCTCCGCGGCTGATGCTTCAACCTCATCCTCCTCATCCTCGTCCTCCGGTCTCTTTCCTGGGTTCTTGCTGACCTAAACCCTAATAGGCCCCCCTTACAGAAAGGGTTCCTTAAGTTTTCCTTTAAGGGGGCCCAGATTCGCTTTTTTGAATTTCTTGTCTTCGGCTGTGGGGACGAGGCCTTCGATGTCTCGGCCCACTCCTTGATGCGTGCCTGCAGGCGGGTCTAGGGTTTAGGGTTTAGGGTTCAGCAGCTCCGGACCGAACAGTGTTACGGCGTAGCCGTTCTCATGGTTTCGATATAACACCCACCCACCCTTATAATCCCATAACATTAAGAAAATACAAAGTTCGTTTTATTATCACTAAGCGAA